ACCACTTGTGTGTGAATGAAACTGAATACAGACTTTGGGAAACCTGCCTGTGAGAGGCTGAACTGTACCCTCACCGACTCATGCTGAAGTCTTGACCCTGCTGGCTCAGCTTGTGACTGTATTCAGAGATTAAGAATTTGCAGAGAGGGCTGGGGATGTGGCTCAAGCGGTAGCGTGCTCGCCTGGCATGCGTGCGGCCCGGGTTGGATCCTCAGCACCACATACCAACAAAGATGTTGTGTCCGCCGAAAACTAAAAAATAAATATTAAAAATTCTCTCTGTCTCTCTCTCTCTCTCCCTCCTCTCTCACTCTCTCTTAAAAAAAAAAAATGGGTGTTAGGTTGGGCCCCTTCCAGTTTGGCTTATGACCCTTAAGTAAGGAAACCTGGATGCAGAGAGAAATGCCTGTGTAGACACAGAAAGTGCAAGCCCAGGAGAAAACAAGACTTCTGGCGATTTCACCTCAGATTTCTGGCTTCCAGGACTGTGAGATGTTGGGGACCGCAAATCAAGTCAAGATGGCACCTGGCAGTTTGCCAGGAGGAGTGGTTTGTGAGGCAACGCCACCGAGCCATTAAGTTGGTGGAGATTCTTTATTGGCTGATTGCCATAACTGGATGATGCTAATTGAGTCAAGCTGTGTGTAATCAGTTAGGTATATATACCTCTGCTGTTTTGCAATAAGGAGGCTACCTTGAGTTCCCGTTTCAACCTTCAAGTCGCTTGTCACCTCCCGGTTATTGTGTCCAGCGGGAGTGCGGCAGTGAGAAAATGCCTGTAGTTGGCGGCATCGTTTATGGCAGTATGAGCTGCTGCAAGGCCTGGGCTGCAGTGTGGCCGTGGAGTCCTGGAAGCAGGCGCAGCCTGGAGGTGGGGGGCCCTCCCTGGAGCAAGGTCTGCTTCCACCCAGCCACAGGAGAGAAGCCAACCCCGGGCAGTCAGGGACTGAAAGGAAGTGAGGACAGCGTCCTCCCTCTGGGGCTGGAGAAGGGTGAGCAGGTGCCCGGGTAGTGTGAGGCTGGCCATCACAGCCGTAGTGGACCAAGGTTTTGCTGGAGACACATGGCCAGGGCCCACTGCAGGTCTGAGTAGCTGCAAGCAAGCACTGATTTCTGCCCCAGGTCCAACAGAGGCCACAACTCAGACTGGGAGTAGATTCTGGAGACAGTAAACGTGATGTGGAGGGTGGTAGCACAGGGGTGTTCCCGGAGGTGTCGGCCCTGGCCCTCAGCGAAGTCCACAGACCTGTACTGCAGCCCTCCTGTGAGCAGTGAAGGCCACCAGGACTTACCATATGAAGGGGAGTCCCCCTTCTTCCAGGAGGGCTGCCTTGGGAAGGAATAGCCTACTGTGATCTGGAAGGGCAGCTGGACTGCTGGCCCAGGTGCTTGGGAGAGGTGGCTTGGTCTCCTCTGCATTTGGACCTCCTCCCACCACAGCATCCTGCCCCGTGCACCCTGGAATCTGCCTGGGCTAGGTGACCACTGCTCTTGCTGACAGGGCCACTCTTCTGCTTAGAGCCACCTGGCGGCTTTCAAGGCCTTCATCTACAGCTAGGCAGCCTGTGACCACAGCCTCCCGCCATCAGCCCCGGGAGCTGTGCCCGCAGGGCTCCTGCACCCGCTGCTGTCTACCGGGTAAGATGGAGTTCCAACTTGCTGTTGCATGTTCAGCTCATGAAAGTACAGGATGCCCAACCAACCGTGGAAATGGGGAGAATCACCTTATTGTTTCCTTTAAGTCTGTGCCTTGTGGCATTTTCTGTGGTGACCCTCACTCCACCCACATCCCCTCCCCACCTCCCGCTCCACTAGGCACCCTGTGGGCAGAGACCACCAATACCCTCGTGGAGCCTCCCACGCTCACGCTGCATGCCCCCAGGGAGCCACAGTTCTGTGGGGCTCAGGACCTGGTGTGGCTGACTGGTTCCCAGGGGATGAGAGCAGGAGTGTCCTGTCCTCCAGGCCACACGCCCATCTTCCCACAGGCTGAGAAAGGCAGTGAGTGGTGCAGACTGCCCGGGACAACCTCCCCCCACCCTGCCCTGTGAGAAATGGACGCACTCCTGGATTCTGCCCACTAACGGGGTCAGCAGTTTCTGCCACTGGCAGTGAGCAGGAAGCTGAGGAGAGAGACCTGGTGGACTGGTGGTCGCCGTCTGCGTAGCACAGACTTGTAGGAAAACTGAAGGGGTTTTTGTTTTTTTTCTTTTTAATGTGGTGCTGAGGATCGAACTCAGTGCCTCACATATGCTAGGCAAGTGCTCTGCCACTGAGCCACAACCCCAGCCCCTGAAATTCAAATTTAATTGGGTTCCATTTGACGGGTGCTCTACCCACCAGAGCCTCCTGAGTAGCTGGGATTACTGGTGTACACCACATCAGCTAAGAGGGAATTTTGTTTTTCCTTTTTTTCTGCAACAGGGATTGAACCCAGAGGTTCTTAACCACTGAGCCACATCCCCATTCTTTTTTTGAGATAGTGTATCACTAAATTTCCTAGGGTCTTGCTAAATCCTGAGGCTGGCCTTGAACTTGCAATCCTCCTGTCCCCACCTCCCAAGGACTACATGGTGCATCGCCACACCCAGTGGCTGGGAGGGAGACTTTAAGAGAGAAAAAAGTCATCAAGAAAACAATTCTGCCAGATGTATAATCCCAGAGACTCTGGAGGCTGAGACAGAAATATCAGAAATTTAAGGCCTGTCTCGGAACTTATTGAGACCATGTCTCAAAATAAAAACTTAAAAGGGTTAGGGATGTGGCTCAGTGGTAGAGCACCCAGATGGACAAATGGACACAATCCTGAAGTGGGAGGAAATGAAAAGAAGGAAATCACGATTCCAAAAGTTTACACACCCAAAACCAGAGCTGACAAAACGGAATTATAACTCATGAATCCAACTCTGAGTACATTACTGGGAGAAGTGCCGAGTAAAGCAAATGAGTAGCGGGGAAGAAAACCAGAAAGGACAAAGGAAACATGAGTTAGACTAGCAAACAGCTTGACCTGATCAACATTCACAAACACCAACAGGCAAACAACAGCAGAAGGCATATGCCCTCAAAGGCAAACTACGTTCCTTGCCACAATAGAAGCCTCAAACTTAAAAGAACTGAGCTGGGCACCGTGGTGCACACCTGTAATCCCAGTGACTTGGGAGGCCGAGGCAGGAGGATCAAAGTAGGACAGCCTCAGCAACTCAGCGAGACACTGTCTCAAAAATCACAAAGTGCTGGAGACATAGCTCAGTGGCAGAGTGCTCCTGGGCTCAGTATGGGAGGGACAAAATGGAAGAACTTTGGTATGCAGAGTTCAAGAGCCAAAAAAGTTAGGGTTGTTAAAATGCCGATTATCCCTACACTGATCTACACAACACAGGATTTGACAAATTGCCACTGAATTTTGTAGGAAAATGCAAAGCACCTAGAATAGTCAAAACAATCTTGGAAAAAAATAAAAATGAACAACTTCCAATACTGTTATAAAACTATGTGAATCAAGTACCACATTGAGCTAAAGCAGCAGCCACTCGCACATGACCCTAAAGCTTTCCAAAGGTAGAGAAGCTCACTATATGGGAAAGAAGTCTCCCAACACAGTGCAGACACAGCAGCTGCCCACGTGGGCGAGAGCCTGACCGCACACTGAAAATGAGCTCCAGGAGGTCGGGGACCTAACTGCAGCAGCCAAAATGGTCAACGTTCCACTTCAGCCACATAAGAAAACAGCAATGGCCTTAAGCAGGCAAACATTTTTTGTTTGTTTTTCAGCCTAGAAATTAAACCTGGGGTGCTGTATCACTGAGCTACACCCCAGCCTTTTTTTTTTTAAAACAGGATTTCACTAAATTGGCGAAGCTGGCCTTGAACTTGAGATTCTCCTGCCTCAGCTCCAGAGTTACTGGGATTACAGGTGTAGGTCACTACACCCAGCAGCAGATATTTCTTAAAACTTAAAAATCATTAATTAGCTAAAAAAGATTCTGATAGGGCTGGGCTCACAGCTCAGTGGTGGAGTGCTTGCCTGACATGTGTGAGACACTGGGTTGATTCTCAGCACCACATATAAATAAATAAATAGAAGACTCCAATAAGTTAGGTTTAATAAAAAAGTTTTTAAAAATCTGTCCAGGTATAGTGGAGGACACCTGTAATCCCAGCTACTTAGGAGCTTGAGGTAGGAGGAGCACAAGTTCAAGGCCAGCTTCAGCAACTTAGGGAGACCCTGTCTCAAAACAAAATATAGAAAGGCCTGGCGCCACTCAGGGGTGGAGCTCCCTGAGCCAGTCCCTAGCACAAAAAGCAAGAAAGACAACCCACCTTAAACATGAGCAAAAAACACGGACAGACACACCACAAAAGATGATGCAGACAGGCACTGGGCACCGTTCAGCAGGCAAATCAACCCTGACCCCAGGCGAGATGGTGACAGCACCAACGTTGGCAGGAAGAGAAGACGGGTCACCAGGAGACTGTTGGGATTTCCCACCAAAACACTTTCATGGCAATGGACTGTTTAGTACACCCCATATTTATGCTGAAATCCCAACCCCCCAAGTGGTGGTATGGGGAGGTGAGGCCTTTGAGATGATCAGATGTCCAGGGCAGAGTCTTCCCAAATGAACTGTGAAAGGCCGGAGAAAACTCCTTGTTCTTCCTGCTGTGGGGGTTACAGGACACCCACCTATGGAGGAGGACCCTCACCAAATCTGCCTGCACTTGACCTTGTACTTCCCAGCCTCCAGAGCCACAAGAAATGAATTCCTATTGTTCATAAGCCCTCCCAGCTCAGAGTGTTTTGTTACAGCGCCTGAATGAACAATTATCTTAAAACTTGGCAATAGAAGTTGTAGGTATTCACCCAAAAGAAAACCCCATGTGCAAATAAATAAATTTACACAAATGTTCATAGCAGTTTTATTCTCCCTCCACCTGCCCTGGTACTGGGGATGATCCCCGGACCTTGAGCATGCTAGGCAAGCACTCCACCACTGAGCTACATTCCCAGAATTCCCAGCAATTTTATTTTTAAGAGCACAAAGTGGAAACTCAAATTTCCAATAGATGGATGAATAAACAAATGACAAATTTTCCATGCAGTGAAACACCACTTGACAAAGACTACCACTAAAACACAACCTGTTGAGTCTAAGGGACAAGAGTATGCACTAGCAACAGAAGTGAACACACTTCCGTTTCCACACATCACCGGCTGCGCTCATGTGGGTGGGGCTCTAGGACAAGCAACACTGACCTTCACTGACACAGTGGTCACTGGGGCTGGGCTGGAGCTGGCTGGCAAGGGCAAGTGGAAACTTTTGGATGAAAGACGTCTTTTTAATTGTGGGGGTGGTTACACAGGTGTGGGGATTCCCTTGTCCCGGTTAAAGTGGCCAGTAATGCCCCTTTCTTGACTGTCTGCAACATCAAGTGATGGCATTTTCCAGGAAGTGGACTCTGTGTACAGTCTGTTTAGAATGGCCCGCCCCTTCAAGGCTTCCAGGGTCCCTAGAACGTGTTAAGAGCTCAAACTGTGTCCTTCTGGGCGAGAGTTGTTCTGTACCACCTCAGAGCCAGCTGCTGTTCACCATGGACTGAACTTCCCGGTTCCGACAGCCCAACCACATGGCAATCCTGTCTGCTGTCCCCTGGGATTCCCTCCCCCAGGTCATTTCTCCTCCTCTAGGTGACAAGCACCCACTGCCCTCTCTGGAGCAGCTAAAATGTCCCTCCTCTGGGAAGCCTTCCAGATCCATGTGACAACAACAGTCTCCTTCTTACCTGAGGTCCTACAGGACCCAGAACACTCTTCTATTTCGACACACCAGTCATACACCACATCTGTCCTCCCCACTGCATTCAGTGGCTTTGGGATGGACAGTGCCTTACTCGTTTTTTCCATTATCTAGGATTATTCTCTTTAGACCTCAATATATTTTTTTCAAATGTCACAAATGACAATGTGAGCAAGGAAATGACAGAAGACAAATTAATCCTGGAGCTGCTAGGACACAAGAGAAGACACCTCCAGCACAACAGATCACACTGGTGCCAGATGAACAAAGCATATGCTAACATTAAAAGTGGCAATAAGTCAACGGCTATTACACCCAGATCTGGGGGTGCTTTTTATTGCCATGTGCCAGACACTGGGGACACATAAAGGATCTGAGTGTGAGGGGAGAGAATTCGTGATTCTGGTACATCAAAGAAGTACAGTAGCAGAGAAAGCACTGAGCCAGAGAAGCACGGAGCCTGCTTGGCTAAGCACCAGGGAAACTCGGCTTAATGTGACGTCCGAGGAGCCTCGCACCGTGATCAGGAATCAGCAGGGCAAGGAAGACCCTTCAAAGAACAGAGGCGGAAACAACCTGGAGAACATGGGAAATAGCATGTATCACCTGCCTGGCCAGAAGCTGAGTGGTCAAGGAGCAGAGACCTTAGGACGGGGCAGGGCTGGTTCTGAGTCTCGCTCTTCAGTCTTTCTGATAGGTAACTCTCTCTTGAGTAACAGGATTAGACACTCAGCTCTGCACTTGAACGACTTAGCTCAAGTGTGGGTTATGATTGTGAGGAAACCTACCTTTTCTTGAGACGCCCTTCCCACCCTGAGCCCACCCCAGCTCAGGCCAGCCACCAGGTTCCTCAGTTCTCCTGCCCTGGTGGCAGTCCACTCCAAAACCAGGCTGTCTAGATCAAGGAAACTCTACACATCCCAATCTCACAGGTCACACGAATGCTAAGTCCACCCATGACCAAAGACCACTCCCAGAGCCAGAGTGATCTTCTATACACTGTCTGCACAATCCCCCTGTCCTGTGGCTCTCTTAGCCAAATGCATGGGGGCCTCATCCAGAGAAAGGCCCTCCTGGTGCACAAAGTCTGGGGGCGGGGCACAGCCCTTCCCATGCTGACTATACTCGTAGAGCTTCTCCTCCGTATGCATCTTCTGGTGCTGAAGGAAGTTTGACCTCTGGATGAAGCCCTTCCCACAGAAGCTGCACACATAGGGCTTCTCTCCAGTGTGTACAATCTGGTGCAGCAGCAGCTTGGAGCTCTGGATAAAGGCTTTCCCACAGTCTTTGCATTCAAAAGGTCTGTCCCCAGTGTGGATCTTCTGATGTTCTGTGAGGTGGGCCTTCTGCAGAAAAGCCTTCCCACACTCTTTACATTCATATACCCGCTCACCAGTGTGGATTTTCTGGTGTCGGATAAGGTAGGAACTCAGAAAGAAGGCCTTCCCACACTCGTTACACTCATAGAGTTTCTCCCCAGTGTGGATTCTCTGATGCTGAGTGAAGTTGGACGTCTGGCTGAAACGCTTCCCACACTCATTGCACACATACGGCCGTTCTCCAGTATGAATTCTCTGGTGCTGAATAAGCTTTGAACTCCGAATAAAGGCTTTCCCACACTCACTGCACTCAAAGGGCCTCTCTCCAGTGTGAATCCTCTGATGCTCAACAAGGTCCGAGCGATGGCGGAAGGCCTTCCCACAGTCTCTGCACTCGTACTGCCTCACTTCAGTGTGCACCTGGTAGTGCCGAATGAGGCTCGAGCTCCTGATGAAGGACTTCCCACACTCGTTGCACTCATAGGGCCTTTCTCCTGTGTGTATTCTCTGATGGCGAATGAGTAAGGAGCTCTGACTGAAGCCTTTCCCACACTCTTTGCACTCAAAGGGCCTCTCTCTGGTGTGAACCCTCTGGTGCCGCAGCAAGTCGGAGCTGTGACAGAAGGCTTTCCCACACTGAGCACACTTGAAAGGTTTTTCTCCCACGTGCACTCGCTGATGCTCAATTAGGTCTGCATAGTGGATGAAGTCTTTCCCACACACATTGCACACACCGAGTCGGTCTCCAGTGTGGACCCTCTGATGCTCAGGGAGCTGTGGGGTCTGCCCAGAGCCTTTCCCACAGTGATCCCATGTGTAAGACTTCTCCCCAGTATGAGAAATCCGATGCCTAATTAGGTCTGAATTAAAAGGGAAGCTTTTACCACAAATATCGCAAGGATGTGCCTCCCCTTCTATGAGCTCCCTCTGAAGTATAAGAATGTTTGAGTTCAGAACAGTGTCTCTTCCTGACTTAACGCACACCTGGGCTGTCTCTCCTGTTTGGATTTTCCAGTGGGTCACTGTCACCTGCCTGAAGTCCCCCTCCTGTGAGGGAGGACTCTCCAGGCTCTGCCCTTCCGGGTTTCTCAATAGCTGCCCTAACCTGGCTTCCTGGACTTCCCCAGATTCAGGGGCAGGGGGCTCCATCACTGTCAGTTTGTCTGACATCATATTATGTGAATTTTCATCCTCAGGAATTCAAGTTTCAAAGTCAATCTTCTTGTTACCAGCTCCTATGCAGAATCTGAAACGACAGAAAAAGATCATCTTTCCCTTGGTTAACAGGAAGGTGCTGAAGCAGGTGCAAGACTCAGCTCAGACGCTGCAAGTGGGAGAGGAAGAGTTTCCTCTGCCCACACTCCCAACCCTCCTCCACTATGTGTGCTCATCTCACCCACCAGCCACCTCCATGTAGAAAGGCTTCTTTGTAGGTCCACCTCCGACACGTCCAACTCCAGGACAGGGGGTTCTGTGGTGAGGACCCCTGGTGACCCTTGGTATGCTCTGGGTGGGTCGCAGAGGGTAGGAATATGGCTGGAACTCTAGTCAAAAGTCAAGATGTATATTCCTGAACTATTAAATGCATCAACCCGACCTTCTCTTCACTGTCTCTCTTTCCTTCCGGTGCGGCCTTCTGTCCTCACCCAGTAAGGACTCCAGGCTCAGCGTACTGCAGCCACTTGACACTCCCTCCTGTACAGTCACTACATCATTTCACACAGCTGCCCCGTTCATCCCGAGATTCACATCCACACTCCAACCAACCTCATATCAAATGTATTTAAAATGTAAAATTGTGTATGGGACATACGCAAACATTTTTCTTGCATTATTTCCTCAAAAAATATAGAATAACTATTTGCATGTGTTAAGTATAAATAACATGAGGTGATTTAAAGTATTTGGAGGTTATTCATAGGCTACAGCAAATACGATGTTACACACAGGAACTAAGTATATCCACCCGTTTTGGCATCTCCAGAACCTAGGGATGCCTGTACAGTCAGCCTCTTCATATAATCCCAATTCCCCTGCCCTTTCACACCTACCAGCTGGTGTGGGACCCGGCTCTGGTCACATTTAGCTTGCCTGCTGACCTGTGGGTGTGCTCGTACTGCCTGGGGACCGAGAGCTGCCAGAATGCTCTACACTCCCTTGTGCTTCCTCTAAAATCATGTCCATCACTCTCTTCTGACCTTTAGGTGATAACCTGGCTCCTCCTCTTCAATGAGAAACGGTAAGCAGTGGGACAGAATGTCCACTCCCCCACCTACCTCTTGCTCTGTGAAGTTGTCCTTGACCCAACTGGAGTTCCCCAGTCATAATTCACTTCCTCTCTGCAATCTAATCCCATGATCCCTCCAGCCCACCATTCCCACCAGGACACAGCAACACAGTTTTCCACCCACCTAAAAACCTTTGTCATGTGCCTATACTCCTACTCACTGGGAAGGCTGAAGCAGGAGGATCACTTGAGCCCAGGAGTCTGGGACCAGCCTGGGCAGCACAGTGAGACACTGTGGTGCACACCTGTAATCCCAGTGGCTCAGGAGGCTGAGACAGGAGGATCATGAGTTCAAAGCCAGCCTCTGCAATTGTGAGGTACTAAACCACTCAGTGAGACCCTGTCTCTAAATAAAATATTAAAAAGGGCTGGGGATATGGCTCAGTGGTAAGTGCTCCTGAGTTCAATCCCCGATACCAAAAAAGAATAAAAACAGGTGGGATATGGTGGTTCACAGCTATAATCCCAGATACTCAGAAGGTTGAGACAAGAGGGTCTCAAGTTTGAGGCCAACCCAGGCCACTCAGTGAGACCCTGTCGCAAAATAAAAAGTAAAAAAGTCTGGGATGTAGCTCAGTGGTAAAGCACATAAGCGTTCAATCCATAGAACCACATAAACAACCACCAAAACACACCCCCCACTTCCTAACTCTATTCTCTCCAGCTCCACCCGCGCTCTCCCCTGCAGCCACACAGGGTCACGGCGCTCATTTCTCCACCTTTTCCTCTTCACTGGACTTCCTCCAGCACTCTCACCCTCGCAGCCCACCTCGTCAGCTCAGTGGGCCCGGCCATGGATGCTCACGCAACTCAATCCCTGTCCATACCTGCCAGCTACTGACTTGCCCCTCTGGAGGCCACCCTGTCAATGGGCTTCTTGGACAACCTCTCCTGACTATCCCTTTCTGACCATAACTCCCTCCTGGTGTCCTCTGACGATCTCCACCCTCCCATACACTAAGCTCAGTGCTCAGATCTCCTCTCCATCTGCACAGCCTCTGAGGAGACAGACCCATCCACTGAAGACGACACGCACTTCTACCTACAGCCTGGCTCTCTCCCCGCTCCCGCACCTGACAGCTCCCAACCTGATGCCCGCACTTGGATGCACTCAGCTTCTCAAACTAATGGGTCAAACTTCAGAACAGAGGTTGCTCTTCCCATCTGCCCCTTCTGTAGCGAGGCCACATTACTTCATCTGTTCAGACCAGACTGCAATCCGGACTCCCTGCTCTTCCACTGACATCCCAAGTCCAACCCATCAGCAGACCTGCAGGCCAGGCCTGCACACTGCTGAAGGCACCTGACAGTGTCTCAAATGTCAAATGCCATCCTCCATCCCCACTTGTCACCACACAGGTGCAACAGCCTCCTAACTCCATATTTCTTCTTTTCCATCTTCTATATAGCAGCAGAAGGAGCCTTTAAAAGCATGAATCAGCTGTCAATCTCCTACTCAAAAACTTTCAGGGCTCTTGCACCCCCACTATGTCAGAGACAGCATTCTGCCCCAAGTAGGTAAGATGAATCTGCAAAACAAAACTGGCCAGTGACCAGGCCTTCAGGCCAACCTCTTTCCCCTTCCTGAGCCAGCGGTTTCCAGGGCATGTGTTCTGCTCTGCTCCTCCACGCCACGAGTTTTAAACAGGGAAGTCTGGCAACAGATCTAACTGGCATTCAGTCTCCTGGTCACTGACTAGTAAAGTGACTCTTTGTGCTTTGTGTGCCTCACTCTTGTGCCAACTGCTTCAGGACCCAGGAAAGGGATTGTGTCCTCATGCTCTGGCCACGCAGTGCTGAGCACTGGACTGGCATCACCTCATGCAACCCTCAGAGGGCACCATGTACTCCACTATTCACAGAGGAAACAGAATAAGAAAAAAGTCACCCAAGGTACCAAGCCAACAAGGGCAGCTAAGGCTAGAATCCAAGGTACCAAGCCAACAAGGGCAGCTAAGGCTAGGATCTAAGGTACCAAGCCAACAAGGGCAGCTAAGGCTTGAATTCCAGTCTGCCTGCCTCCACACCCATTTCCTCATGGAGACTGTTTTCTTTCCTAAGTGTGATGTCACTTTTACAGATATTTTGCTGAGATATCAGCTAGGATTAGTATTATGACCTCATCAATTAGCAAGACCCTGTCTCAAAATATTAAATAAGGGGCAGTGGGTGCAGTTAAGTGGTAGAGTATCCCTCGGTTCGATCCCCAGTACCAGGAAAATGAGGGAATGAATTAGGAGTAGGAATGTGGTTTCTTGGCTGTTCTAATCAGTAATACATTGATTTTTCTTCCCCCGTGTACTTGGGATTGAACCCAGGGACTCTACCACTGAGCTACAACCCCAACCCTTTTCATTTATTTATTTATTTTGAGGGGTACCAGGGATTGAACTCAGGGGCACTTGACCACTGAGCCATATCCCCAGCCCTATTTTATATTTTATTTAGAGACAGGGTCTGACTAAGTTTGAGTTGCTTGGCACCTTGCTTTTGCTGAGGCTGGTTTTGAACTTGAGATCCTCTTGCCTCAGCCTCCTGAGCCACTGAGATTACAGTCCTGCACCACCACACCAGGCTTTTTTTTTTTTTTCCCAGTACTAGGGATTGAACACAGGGACACTTGACCACTGAGCCACATCCTCAGTCCTATCCAGCTCTATTTTGTATTTTATTTACAGACAGGGTCTTACTAAATTGCTTAGAACCTCACCATTGCTGAGGCTGGCTCGCAATCCTCCTGCCTTAGCCTCCAGAGCTACTGGGATTACATCCAATGTATACCACCATGCCCAGTTTTTTATTTATTTTTAATTTTGAGACAGGGTCTGTGCTGAGTCTGGCCTCAAGTTTATGATCCTCCTGCCTGAGTCACTGGAATTATAGGCAGGCTACCATTACACCTGACCTAACTGCTAGTTTAAAGTGACAACACATCTGGCAACAATCTTCTGTGTGTCTACAAGAACACAGTTTAAAACCATGTGCCTGACAAAGGTTTTCATATATTTTTTTAACTTCATAGGAAGTTCTTAAATAGAATATACCTTTCTTTAAACAAACATATTTCAAAATCAACAATCTTAAGTTTCTACTTAGCTCCTTTTTCTGTGAATATAAGTAAAATTAAATCAATACTTTTTCCTTTAAAGAAACTTGAGTGAAATAAATAATAGTAAAACTATGCCAGGTTTCTGAAACAACATGACCTTTTTCTGTTACAAAACATGGAATCTACTGGAAGAAGCATCACAGGAATGGTATAAATGCACAGTGATGCTGTGTATCAGCAGCAGTGACCGTGACTCTGGGGTATACTGGGGTGTTCCTTATGGCACTAGAAGTTCAGCCTTCACATCTGCACTGGTAAAGGGGCATTCCAGCTTTGGTTCTCAGTAATTTACTGCTTGAGGCCCACAGAAAGAGCAGGATGGTTTGCTAAACTTCGGCCCTGGCAGTGCACATGCTGCAGCAGTGGAGGCCCCAAGTGTGTGACAGTCGGCAGGCAAGGTGCACTTGTTTTGCATGTTCTCTTCAGAACCTTCCAAGGGATTCAAGGAACTGACTTGTTCAAGGTCAAAGAGAAGCAGAACCACCTGCTAGCTGCTCTCTCTGGCTCCTCTTCTCCCTCTTCACTATAAGGCCACTGTTTTCTGCCCCTAGCAGCTGCTCTCAGGGTTCTCCCAAGGAAAACAGAAAAAAAATCTCCCTTTCCTGACAAACCCAGTGTTCTTTCACCAGCACTGTCCACCAGCCCAAACAGCACCCACAGCTTCCTGAACTGTTTCAATGACACCACAGTGTTCTGTGTCTCTTTCCCTGAGCTCGGGGTCTTCCATTTTCAGCTGGGCTAATAAGTGTCCTACAGATTTCCCAGCTCTGCCCTCTCTCCTTATCACCTGCTGGCTGTTCCAGAAACTGCAATCCATCCCAGAACTCCAGGAGAGGCCAGCACAGGTGATGAATGTGAAATCCCTCCCAGCACCTTCCATAAGATGAATGCCCTGGTTATGACAACCGTGAAAGCACCGATGTAATGTCACCGGAATGACAGGGACAAAGGCCTCCTCTCTGTGGATAGGGAGAGCACGGTATTGCCTGAAGACTCATTTCTCAGATCCTAGGTAGACATAAGACATTAATACTCTGGGGAACCGCAGGCACACACTCGGGTCCCGAGGACCCTTGGATCATGGTGCAGCCAGTGTGTAAAGAGGATAAAACGTGCCTGGCATCAGCAGAGACACCACTGGGGCTCACAGACTTCTAAGAGAAAAGGAAGTTTCCAGGAAAATGGAGACAGCACAGCCAACCACCTGTCCCCACGTGGGGTTTCTTGCAGCTGACTCAGACCAAGCTTCATCTCCGCCTCTAACCCCAGCAGCACAGAGGTACCGGCCATGCATCTCCAGCGGAGGCCGCAGGGAGGGAGACAGGGTCAGAGGCACAAAGCAGCGACGCTCGCACCTGCACCCGCAAACGCCTGGGCAGCCCATCTCGGAGCGGCTCAGAGGCCGGGTGGTACCTCGACGGCCTCGCGGAGCGGGGCAACGCGCCTGGCATTACGCAGGAAGCTCTGGGGGACGAGACGGCCGGCTTGGGCGCCGCCGCCGCGGCCCCGGGAGACCGGCCCGCCTTGGCTGGGCCGGACCCCGCCCGGCCGCGAGCCCTCAACACGCCACTCACCCGGCGCCCGGCGGCGAGAGGACGGCGCGCGCCCGACGCCGTAGCCAGGCCGCCCAGCCCTCGACCCCGCAAGCAGCCGACAAAGCCCGCACGACGGCCCGCAAGCCGCCACCGGAAGTCATCCGAGATCCCGCCCTGAGGACTTCCGGGAACGCTCTAGGCGCTCTAGGAGCCGACTCCCTCTCGGTGGTGCGGACTTCCGGCCAGTGGGCCGGGATGGCGGGGGTCGGGATCTGGGCCGCGGCGCAGCGCGGGCCGGCGGGTGGGACGCTGGCAGGTCCGTGAACCTCTCCCGCGGCAGGGCTGGCCTCCGGGAAATCCCGGGTGGTGTGGGTCTCTCAGACTTTGGTCATCGCCCCCTGAAAATGTTGGGGAGCGGCGAGCTGCAGCGAGAGGCTCACCCCCAGCCCCAGCGAGGGCCGAGGGTTCCGCTGTCCAGCGCTGAGAACCGCCCGGGTCTTGGCGCGCAGGGGATCCGGGGGCCGCCGGCCTGGAGGAGACCAGCCTGAGACCCAGGCGACCCTAGGCAGAACCCAACATGTAGTTCCAGCCAAGAGGGCCCTGAGCCCTCTTTTCTAGAGCACTTTTCTAA